AACTATCTCATTTTCTCTTTGTTGTTTGAAATATTTGGGTTATCCTGCAACTCTACTTCCCTCATATTTCAGAAGTAATATTCCTCCTCCTGGCCAAGGCTTACTCTTCTACCTGCTCTCGCTCTGTTTTTCCTTACCATAAAAATGTCCTTCTCTTGACCCAGCTATTCCTTCAAGTCCTTCTCCTACTTTCATACTCTATTTCTTGAAAGGTCAGGCTATGTCTCTTGAATCCAGTTCCTTTCCACCAGGACTGATGTATTGCATAACTTGCACACTGAATTCTATGTACAAGGGTCTCTCTGGAAGCCATTTGAATAGACCACACTGGGCCACGCTGCAGTCCTCATTCCTTGACTTAGAGGTTGCAAACTGGTAGCTTGTAAATTGGATCTTTCCTGCCAGTACAGAGTTTCCACTATATGTTTAGTGAATGTTCCAACCAGGAAAGACTGGAAGGAATGACAGAGAAGCCATTTTGAAGATATAATTGTTTAGAGTTTTTCAGAATTAAAGGAAGACACGTATTGAGATTTCAGTTGCAGCTGGAGTCCCAGGCAGGATAAAGATAAGCGTTCACCTGGATTCATTATAGTGAAGCCATAGTACATTGCTTATCAAAGATAAAGAGAAAACCTTAAAAGATCCCGAACTGCAATTATGTTAGAAACAATAATAAAAAATAGTTGGATTGAGTAGTCTTCTCTCAGCGCTTACATTCCCCAACCTGTTTATAGCAGCAGGTACACTTTACCACGTTTTCTCTTTGCCTGTACTGATCCTGAGAACCTCTAGCTTTTATTCAGCATATTTGGAGTATTATTTACGCGTTCCTCTTCTTCACCTTGTCTTCCTAAATAACCTTCCCCAAAGTTTTTTTTCTTTATTGTCTTCTCCCATATCTTCCAAGCTCTTGGCTTCAACTATCTTTTTGTTGTTGTTGTTTGTTCACAAGTTCATATCTTCAGCCTCAAACTTTCCCCTTTAAGTCCCAAGTTTCCAGAGACATGTTAGACAACCACCTCGATGACACAGTAGCACAGTGGTTCTCAAAATGTGGCCCGTGTACTGTTTACAGGTTTCTGAAACCCTTTCAGGGGTTCCACAAGATGGAATCTATCTCCAACATGATGCTAAATTATTCCAAATGATGTTATTTGTCTTTTCACTCTCTGTCTTACATGTGTGCAGTGGAATTTTCCCTAAGCTACACAACATCTCGTGACATCATGGCCCTGGGAGCTGATGGAACATATGTACTTGTGTATTCTTGTGTTTTAAAAATTTCTTACTTTTAATTTCTAATGCAATAAATATAAACAGATACATTCTAATCCATATAAACCAAAGCTCTTTGAGGTTCTCAGTAATTTTTAAGAGCGTAAAGGGGTTTGAGACAAAAACTTTGAGAACAACAATTGTAGCATATTATACTCAATAACTTTATAATGGAGCTCTTCAATTCTTCCCCCCATCCTTGAACTTTTGGAATCAATTCCTCATTCTTTTAATGGCACCATATTTTGTCAGACTCAGCATAGAAAACTTTAGAAGTATCTCTAATATTTCCTTTTTTCTCATGCTCCTACAAATCGAGTATACCAAGCCTTTTAGAAGAGTGTTTACGGTTCCAAACCTAGAAAGATAAGTAAAGGCCAGTCCACAGAGGGGCATTAAAATCATAACCAAAGAATAAACTTTATGGAGCCACTAATGATTTTTGGACAGAGGAGTAAATGGTCATGTCAGTAATTCAGTATTTAAGGTTATGCAGTGTGTTCAGCATTCATTGATTTAGTTGCCACATAGGCTGAGGATGAGAGCACCTAAACGGAAATGACAGTTTGGGCTCTAATAAAAATATATTGGCATAATGTGCTCCATTTTTAAAAACATCCTTTCTACCAGTATTGTATTATTGGCTCTATTTTTGTTTTTTAAAAAGGAACAATTCAGGAGGTAAGCTTAGCAAGGACATTGTTCACAGTTTACAGATTGAACTGAAGTTCAGATTAACCAGGGGACTTTCTCCAGGTTAGTAGACTGAGAAATATACAAACCAGTTTTATGACCCTCTGGCCTGTGACAGGGGAGAGATGCTGAGGGCTAAACAGGCACATAGGGCGCGTTGCTGTAATCTAAGCTTGCAGTCATATTTGCTTTTCAAGTCAGTAACTAGAACTGTTAAGCCCATGTGTATACATACCTTGTAGTCATGGTTTTCTTCAGTTTACACTCTTGGGTTAGTACAGTCCTGTTGGTATAAGGAAAGGAAATGCAAGGAAGACCAGGGTCTGTGAGCAATCTCCTGGCCTTGTTCCACTTTCCATAGGAGCATGGAGGGAAAGTGTTCACTTCATAAATGAAGGTTAAATTCTTGAGTACATAACATAATGACAAAATTCTCTAAGAGGGAGTAAGCGTCTTTCTCATTCCTCTACTTTATAGCAGCACCTCTCAAACTTTATTCCACAGGAGTAATAGAGTCCTGAGATAGAGAATTTGTTAAATCTGTTTTGCCTAATTATTTCCCAAACTGATTGAACCATAAAACTCTCTTTTTCTTGCT